TGAACTCGATGAGTCCGATGGAATACAAAACTGTATCTCTCTAATGGAAAACATCCGTCCATCACAGATTACTATACACCATCCGCCGAGGGATTTTCCAGGGTGACTCTTTAAGCCTTTATTGTTCTGTTTACGCTTGAATCCGCCTCTTCTACTCTACTTAATTCCATCTAATTATGGAAATCGCTCTTAAAAGAGGGAACTCAAACTCTTCTTCGTGTCTCACAATCTCCTTTACATGGATGACCTGAAGCTTATGCAGACACTGAGAGTCACCCCTATGCGGCAACTAATAAACGTGACGGAGAAGTTCACTGACGACATTAAGATGAAATTCGGTTGATAAGTGCAGGAGAGTGAATATCATTCGCGGTCATTATGCAAGTTATAATTTTGGAAACTGATAATGAACCAAAGATTACCTTCATGGAACCCCCATGAAACCTTACAAATACTGGGTTTCAACAGTCACTCCTAGATCAACTACCACAAACCACTGTTACTAAGAATATACTAAAAATGAAGTGTCGTAAATACGATTGCACGGCTCTTAAAAACTCAACTATCTGCTAGAAACCTTGTGCAGGCCATCAATTCAATTTGTTATTCAGTGCTGAATACCTCCTTTGGCGTTATTAAAATGGAGCAATACTGACCTCGACAACCTCCAGATGAACAAATTCGAACGCTATGCACTCAACAACCCGAAACATCATCCCCCATTCAAGTACTGAGCGTTTTACCCTTCCAAGGTCGCAGGGAGGGCGAGGGTATTCGTAGATCTCAAAATCTACACAGCTCTCAAATTGCTTCAACTCAGAAAGATACTTTCTTGGAGCATTGTGGAGAGTTCAGCAGCAGTGCAAGGCGCAGTTTGATAACTATAGTCCTCTGAAGCTTGAAAAAGCTTGATCCGCTGTTCAGACAATCATTGAAACGAGAGAAGATAAGCCTTATGGATAAGCAAAGGCACTGCAATGGAAGGTACCTCACGAGCTGAGTAAACCAGAGTCGACAATCTCTGCGTCGCAACGCATGGCTCTCAGCACGGGGATCTCTTTCCGGGAGACAGAGCCTTCATGATAGCTTATCCAGGACAAGTGGTACCAACATTGAACTACAGAAAACACATTCTGAGAGATTCTACATTCATTCCGACTCGGGTAGAAGATGTGAGGCTGCAAGCGAAACTATCACAACACGTAACAAGTGGATGTAGCCACCCGCCACGCACAGGTGGAATACAAAAGAGGCAATGATGAAGTGGGCGAAGGAAAGGTAGCACCAATTATTGCGTTGAGAACGGGCTTACTCGCCACTTCGTGCCGTATTATAATTATGTGCCCAGAATGTGCTGTGAAAAGTAGATGCGCCAACACCCTACTGGATCGTCCATTAATCACTGACAGTAGCATGTCGGCGCAATAGACCAGATATAAACGTACATTGATAAGAACCAAGAAATCAGCATTTTCCTTATCGATAACATACCAATACCCACAACATATCGGGAAAATATCAAGAGATCCAGAAGTTATTACCAATCTCGCTTGATATTATTATTATTATTATTATTATTATTATTATTATTATTATTATTATTATTATTTATTTTTACTAATGGAAAAAAGAGGGGAGTGCTACAGTTTCATCGTCGGAGAAGGAAGTGCTCATCGAATGTATAATAGCAAATTTCTCTCAGAAAATAGTTATAAACGAAGCAATAAACCGACAAAAACATTATGCATGGGATAACACTGAACACGATTATAAAGCAACGAACTACAATATAAGATATAACAAACATTGAATAAAGCTGTGGAGATGGTAAAGTCGAGGTGAAAAGGAAATGCAATAAAAATTACTAAACTTAAAATTTCGAAGTTGAGAGTAGCCATGGGATCATGTTAACATAACTTACAAAACACTACTTGTTAGGCAAAATTTTTACCTGCAAGGTAGTTATGTGCCAAATTATTAAAATGGTCATTTCGTTAATAATTAACTAAGAAGTAAACTTTGTCATTTCAATCGGTCAATTATCAACCAATTATATCCAAAGCATGTTGTGTGATCATCTTTGATAGGCGAAATCGCGCGCAAAAACCCCTTTCATTGAACTCTTAAAAATATTCGGATCATTCCCGTATCCACCTCGACCTACAAGAAAGCTTCAAAGCTCTCGTTTTCAAAATTGTCGCAGCAATCACTATCAAAAGCAACACCACAATTCACTCGCTATTTGAGCTGTTTTTGCACCGTAAGGCACGCCTTAAAATGTGTAAGTGGAACTGAGAGAATGTAAGTCGAAATTATCCTTTAATTTCGCCTTAAAGGATATGATAAAGCGGAAACGTCGTCCAAATCTACCTTACGAGGAACTTAAGATTTTAAATAACGGTGGTGAAACCGGCCGTTTGAGTGGCTTTCCCTGCTTTGTTGTGTCGAGTCGATACAACGGAAAAGTATCAGCACTTAAAGTATTGCACATAAGAATCTCGATATCACAAATCTGCACGAGGAAATAAAAACGATTTGTCTCATATTTCGACTTATCGCTGTTTAAGCTACTGACTACCATATTACTTGAGAGGTGACGGACTAAAAAATCAACATATTCAAGAATTCAAATTATTGAGGAAGTTTTGTCCAAGCAGGCTTTAATTTATTGATATGTTTAGGCACTGAACAACGTATCCTGCATGTCGATCAGAATATTCTTTAATTTTTCTCTTATCGATAGAACAAATATTGAGATGGGCACTTGTTTGGACATACAACAGTAAATATTACAGACTTTTTCCCACACCGCAGCAAATAGCACGAATCTGTGGTTGGGATATACCTCAAAATTGAGTGTGGGCGGTTTCTTCAGGAAAAAAATAAGAGATAAGGTCAAATGCGAAAAGTTCCAAGTTGGGCTCCAGTTTGGGACACGGAGAAATTTCAAGACAGAATTCGTCTTTGGTTTCTCTGCGGTCAACAAGAACTGATAAAGTTCGAGAAACGTTTTTATGTCATGAAAACCTGCCCTTCTTAGTTCGTTTATCTGATGAATTATTCCAGAAAGTTGAAATTAAACGATTGAAACTTCCTTTACAGGGGGGTAAAATTGTGTGTCTCCATTGTCCATGAAGGAGAATTATGTCATATCTTCATGATGCA